AGGAAGCCTTCAAGCTCCAAGAACTGCAGATGGACACTTGGAGGAACTAAATCCCAGAAACACTGTTAGACACTAGAACAGCTGATGGACTGATGTGAAGGAAAATAAAGACTTTGACACTGATTACTGAGGAAGAGGATGAATAATTATGAACAAAAGTTACATAAATAAAAGTCAAAATTCTGCATTAAAATGTGGACCACGACGTCCTCCTCTCTTTAATGTCATTTCCAGCCAGAAGAAACCTATTGGTTAGTTAAAAATTAACTATAAATGGAATTTCTATGGGCCCGACAATAAACACTATTGTAGGCAAAAATAACATCAGTAGGATCACTGAGTTTTCGCCAAAACCTCAGTGGAATAAATTGTAAGTTTCAACACTTGTTCAATCATTAACTGAACCGTCAATCACTGTGAAACTTAACACTTAACATTTCAGTCTGTGTTTTAGTATCCCTGATGTTCCAGCTAAAAGCACCATCCACACTGTACTTTTTGTTAAAACAAACATTTCTAAGTGACTTTCGGTAGAATGTACAGCCATCAATAGTCTGGTAATGGAGACTGAAGGTTAAAAGTGAGAAAACATCACTTGTCACTGAGAATATTTCCCTCATTTAACACACAAAAGCCTCATTCAACTTTAAACGACTTGATAAACAAAAACAGGGTTATTTCACTAAAACAAAGTGAGGTTATGTTTCAAAACACGCGTGCACACACATTAGTTTTCACTTTTTTTTTTTATTGTACAATATTACAATAACATTTTGTACAAATGCTGTTAACAAAAAATGAAACTCAGGCTACAGGGAGAAATGCTTGTTGGGGGGGCCTGAAAACAACAATGTCCACCGGCAGATCCTGCACCGAGAACCGGTGCGGCAGCGGTGTGGCTTCGTCCAATTCACCCCATCGAATGTAAAAAAAAACAAAAAATCGTAGAGTGATGGGAAGAAGCAACCGGGTGGTTACCAAAGTCTGATGCAGATTATGTACTGAAACACACACACACACAAAAATCCAATATGTGTGTGTCGTCGTAGTGATGGTGTTGAAGGGAAACGGGGCTGTTGTTTGGTCCAGGTCCAGAGATTTAAGAAGCCGAGGGTCGGAGGTGGTCGGGCGGATTAAGAGCGGGTGTACTTCCCCCAGATGTGGAGCATGAAGACGGATGCGATGAACAGCAGACTCATCACCAGAACCGGCACCGGACCGCTGTCACGATAGAAAAACACTGATTAACAGCCAGGTTCTCAATCATCGAGGTAAAACATCATTAAAAAGTAACTTTAATTTTGGTTTCTTAACATTAAATCACATCCGTTTTTATGACTTTATCTTAATTGTATGTGTTGTCGTATTTATCCATTTTATCTGCTTTAAAAATCTACTTTATTACAATTTTTTCCTTTTATTTTAACTTAATGTTTTGGGTTTTTTTTTAAATCTAACTTATATAGCTTATAAATCTATCATTCTTTTCTGTTTTCATCTATTTTATCTTTTTTTAAAAAACATTTTGTCTTTTTCATCTGTTGTTTTATCATTTTATATCAATTTAATCAATGTTTTTTATTTCATGTAAATTTTATTCTTTGTCTTAATAATCTGTCATTTTTTTAATTGTTTTTATA